AAAGGAGTTGAATATGTATCGTCGGCAAAAAAGGGGAACATCAGATTAGTGGCTGCAAGTTTAATTTAACTGCTAGGATTTCTTTACAGACGAGGGCTCTTTTCCTTGTTCGCCTTTTGAAAAGCAAAAAATTCAAAATAAAAGACCAGCTGAGAAGTTTTAGAAAACACAAAGAGTATGATTCCACTTTATACCTAATTCATCTTTATTATCACTTGTATCATTTGTTGAACGAAGTGGATATTAAAGTAGGTTACTTTGACATATCCTTACTTCTTCATTTTATGATATCACTAATCAAGTGCCAAATTTCTACGATAACGTTCATTTATCAGAAAGTCCTGAATACGAGTTTTTTATAAAAGCATGCCTCAAACCTAACAAAAAGACTCACCTGCAAAAGAATGATCGCATGCTTAACCGTGTCGAGCAGCCGGTTACTAGACGTGATCAGCTCGTCTACATTTTTGCGCTCTTTCTCTGATGCATGTTCTTTAAGCGATTCAAGGCCCTTTACCTGAAATGGCACAATTCCAAACGTGCTCTTTAAATGTAGAAGAGATACGGCTAACTTAAGCTCTGATTCTCACCCAAACAATTTTATATAAAATGAACAAGATAACGATCAGAAGGAAAGTGAACAAAAAGAAGTTTAAACTTTGACTTTGCGTCAAAAATTCTCTGTTCATCTGACACTTAAACAGAAAATAAGTGTTTGTCTTCCGTGCTTTCCGTAACAGTCTGCCGCCTACACCATTATTCAATAGAATTGTCTTACAAGTTCTAAAAAATTCTACCTGAAGAATGATATCCGACAAATGCTTGTCAGCTTCGACAATTTTATGCTTCAGTGCTTCTGATGCATTCTCTTGTTTCTTTGGAGCTTTCCTATATCCTCCACATTCCCGAATGACAGTTTCAAGTGCCCGTACCCAATGGTTTCGCTCCTTTTCATCACGGCCCTATAAGTTCAATGAAATCAATGACTGATAAAGATCGACAACTCTTCTCTGCGTTCAAAGTCTTAGCTTATGAAGAAGATCATCACTGTTTCTTTCATTTGTTTAATCCTATCTTTAGCTCTCTAGAAGCACATAATTTATACAAAGACGTAGGACAACCGTAGCC